TGACCGGTGAGAAACTGTTTTGTCAGAATGGCGGATGTACGTGGTATTCCGCTTTGTCAACGACTGTTGACAGTTAATCTTTTATTCTCCCTCATGCAAAATTTACGACAATCATGCATGCTAACAGTTGTGACTCCATGTCAGTGTGCTCGAACTGTGCGGAAATTGGGGAATTCGGCGGGTTGTTCGCGTAGAATGAGTTGCCAGTTACTGTTTGGGTAGGGACATGGCAATAAATGTTCGTCAGGAGAATGCCGAATAAAACAGCGATGTATCATGAGCTGCGCGGAAAATGGAATCACAACCGTTAGCATGCATGATTGTTGTAAATTTTGCATGAGGGGGAATAAAAGATTTTCTGTCACCATTCGTTCATCGAAAATGCAAATTTTGGACAATGAACAAAAGATGTCGATATAGGGTGATGAAATCCGAGTTGGAAGTCCCCCAGCGGAATTTTTACCATCAGAATTTCAAGTTGGAAGTCCCCCGTGCGTTTGAACTTGGCTTATTTAGAGACTGAATTTGAAATCTTTGGGTCACACATTGGCGGAAGACATCTCAAAAATCCAGCTTTGATTTTCCTATTGCCGAGTTAGCGATTTGCCTGCCAAAATTTCCACGAGATCATGCGTGAGACTTAAACTTGCATGAAAATCGGCATTACGTTCCTTTGATTGCCAAGTTAAAATACCCGGACAAAAACACACACTGTGACGACCCATGGTGTGTGCATACACACACGTAGCGCACACACCCATGGCTTGTCACAGTGTGTGTTTCTGTATTTGCATAAATATGCAAAACGAATATAAATGGACGCAGTGACGGTGTAGTTCCGAGTAGCCTAGCATCGTTGCAGATGCTGCTGTTGCTGCTGCATGAAGTGGTTGGTTGCTGTCTGTTAGCTGTCTTATCAGAAGCGTTGGTGCAGTCAGATCTACAGCGACGCGTTAATTCATTCTTCGAAGCGCCAGGCCACACCAATAACTGGGCAGTGCTGGTCTGCACGTCGCGCTTCTGGTTCAATTACCGTCATGTTGCGAATGTGCTTTCGCTCTATCACTCCGTGAAGCGACTCGGAATTCCCGACAGGTGAGCATTGCTGTCACTCAGAAACAAACGGCATGCGAGCGAGGGTACAACGCTACTCGCTGACCATTCGTTTTTATGCGTTTTTGTTGTGCAGCGCCATAGCACTG